ACTATACAACTTGAGTAAACCTTCTCCATACTTGGTTCATTCATTGTTTCTATGACAAATACATATATCATTGGTTATTTGGATAAAAATATCAGGGTCACTTATTAACATAGACTTATTTAAGTGCCAGCCTATTCCTGACACTAGACATTCAGTGGAGGAAATGAGAATAGAAACTCCACTCTCATAGAGCTTATAGTCCAGTTACATGAAACTACCTTTCCAATTACTTAAAATAAGTGCCCCCTCAGTTGCCATTGAACGCCCAAGCTTGTGAGTTTGACTTTGTTTCAGCACATGTTTTCTCTCAGCGTTTCGTACACAGCTCTAGAGGTGAAAGGAGGCTGATTTTCCGCGAATACTTTTTTCAGAGTGGTGGCTTATAGAAGGCCCAACTATTGAGCCCCACACAAATAAAATGGTGGCTGGTCAGCCCTGTGAAGTACGTACTCATAGCCATGGAAGATAATCTGCAGGGGGACTGCATTGAACATCAAGCAGTTGAACTTTTTACACTTATTTTCTCCACAGATCACATATGGTATATATTAAGAATACCTTTATACCGAGGGTCACAGAAAATTACAAATGTAAATGACCTTGGAGATCATCTAGTTATTCCCTCAGCAAGTATTTGTTCAAAATCCACTGTGCTTTGCTACTGTGCATTTTGATTGTCAAGCAAGAGAAGAAACAGATGGAGAGGCAAAGATATTTGTTCTCTTCTAAGCAGTGGCAGAACTTGAACAAGATCTCAGTTGTTTTCAAATTTTATGCCAAACGCTGATACAGTGACAGTGGTGTTACCCCTTTGTCATTCCTGTTTACAGAATTTCGGGTCACTGAAACCTTCATTCACAGCTAGTACATACTCTTGTATGATATAGTAAAAGGGTGAGCATTATTGATATTTGATCACTGTTCGAGCATTCTTTACCTTGTAAAAAGCAGTTTTATATGGCTCAATCTAAGTTTTCTCCTGTGACCATGTCAGTTTCTGTTTGAGATCAGAGATAATATTTTTCCATTTATTCTCTTGTACCTATATGTACATATACTTGCCAGTGTACACACATACACAGTTGTTTGTTTCTCCAGAATATGTGGTTTGTAAAGAGAATCCTGGAGTCAAAGCTCATATTTTCCCAGAGTGATGTTTGTGCTGGAGAGTGTCTTTTTCTCCTCCAAACTCACTTTAGACCTCTCTCCAAGATGCTGTCCTCCACACAGTGCATCCACATGTTTTTCTTTCCTCTGAATCCAGTAAGAGGTCAAGCTGAGGAGGAGAGGATTTGAGTTACTTATTCCCCACCTCCTTTCTTGCAGGACTCTGTGTGGGGCTAGCTGTGTTCTTCTACCTGTAGTTATCATTGTTGTTACTTTTCTCATAGCAGTAATGGTGTTTTTTCCTGACTCTGACTTTAGATTGTGTACTTACAAAGGTATGTTTTCTAGGAACATGAGTTATGAGGTTATATTTGCATAGATTTTATACCCGCAAGCTAAGTACTAAGACTTGTAAATGTCCTGAGGCAGAAATAACAGTTAATAATACTTATAAACAGTACTAACTTACACTTTAAATCTCAAAACTAATTATTAGTTATTCAGGCTTTTTATGTTCACTAGAAATTCTAAAATAAGAAAATATCAGCTGCAGTTAGTTTCTAATATGGAATGTAAGACAATATTCAAACATTTGTGAAATATAATTTACTTCTGCTGTTACTTTTATTAGCTATGGGTGTAAAACATTAAATCAAATACACTATAAATTTGGCATGTAATCTTTGCTAGTACAAATGTTTTCCAAGTTTTATTCTTTGTCTATGGTATATATAATTATATATCACATAAAAATAGAAGAGTAAGTAGCCAAAGAAAATATTTTTTAATTCAGTAAAGTAGCATTTTGGTTTCTAACCACAGATTGACTTAACTATTCTAAAACTAATTCATTGCTAGAACAAACATTTATGGAGCTCGTATCATATGTTGTCATTGTGCTCAGTGCTTTGGAAATTTGGAATATTCGTGGGAATCATATTCTGAACTCCACAAGGCTTCTTAATAATGTCACAAGTCCATTAAGTATTGATTGGCAAGAACCAAAATGAAAAGTCAGATCTCAGCTCTGGTTCAATCTTCCTTTGCACATAACTGCACCTCAGTCATCAGGCACTCAGTATATAACTAACCAGATATTAAAAAGCGTGAGAAAAGCAGTTCTTCATGCATCCCTAACAAATTTTTCATTTTTACTCTAGGTGATCAGTAAAGTTGCAGGCTTCAATGCTCTCTGAAGTAAGCTAAAAATAGGCAATAAATAAAAGTACGGATCTATTCACCATATGGTATCGCGCATCTGAATCTATTATACTTTCCGTCTCAATATTGTGGGACAGAAAAGACCTAGAAACTCTTGAAAGACCTTTCACATTTTATTAATGCCTAAAAAATTTAATGTTTATGTTAATACCTGAGAAGGCTATTTGGAAGACTGTGTCATATAGTCCCATGTCCCAAATTCCTTATGAAAATGGAAGCTACTTTCAGCATTGCTTGTAGGAACATTTTAGGCTCTTTAAATGTATTGAACAGTCAGGGAAATGGGGACTAGGATAGAAAAACAAGGGGCTTGAGCTGGACTATTGCGCGCCCTTGGTAAATACATCACACGAAAGATAGAAGACAGAATGCCTCCAGACACGCCCCTGATTCTGTTAAATACTATCATAGGACACTTAATGATTCCTACAACGATTTACAGAAGTTTCATAAAATGCAGTTGCAGCTCTTATAGATGTTAATGAAGATTGCTTCTAATTTTTATACATAATCTAGTGAGATGGGAATAGTGTTAGATGTCAAGGAAAAATTAATGGAGATTTTTTTAAAAAGTCATGAAAGATAAGCACTAGAACAATAATAGAGTTTATGGATATAAGTATGAGTGAACAAATAAGGTAAAATTACTTTGATCGTTATTCTAGTGTGCAGTCACAGTTTGAGGGATTAATGTGAAAATCTGACATATTCATAGTAATTTTGGCAGTTCTTGCTTTGAACTTCAACTTTGTGTGTTAGGGTCTTCCACTTGAACTAAACTAAAAAAAAAGTGACATAAACTTGTTTGTTCTTTTGACATAATTTTGACTACTTCCTAAAAGACACTGAGAAGCTAACCTGGTGAAACATTTAGTATGTCCAGTTGGGCTTCTAAAGTGATGCTATGCTTCTTAGTAACAAGATAAAAGGGAAATCAAATTAAATGTTATCATTCTCTTTTATCCCAGAGAAGACTACAAGTACAGTAGTTTTCTCTTCTGGAGAAACTGTTTTTCCCAGGCACAATTTCTAAAGAAATAAATCTATCTAGTGAAATCTTAGGAACTTTTATTTTTTTCTGAAAATTTAAAATGTTGCACACACGTTTCAAGTAAAGTTGTGATTCCTAAGAAAAGAAATTATCTAATGACTCTTTATCTGTCACCTCCAAAAGCAAGCCGATTTGAATGTTTCCTTTATTATGATGTATTAGAACTTCATTAACAGGGAAGTCTTGTAAATGTTATTGTTTTTGAGCAAGATCACACTGTGCTAAATAATGAGATATGGGAATACATCGAACAGCTTGACTTCGGCTGACTTTTACTTAAGAGTGTGAAGCATTTTAAATTAGACTATGCTAGTATTGATGAAATGTGCACAAGGGGGAAAATAATTTAAAGTCTTTGTTCCATTTTGAAAGTAGATAAATTATTTGACTTAAAGCACTGTGACCTGGAAATACAACAACTTTTGTATACTCTTGGAGAAAGTAAAAATCAGGCAATATTTTGGAACACAATTTGGCAATGTTTAACAAATCTACAGTGCATTTATCTAGTGACCTGGCTATTACATCTGCTGAGAAGAATCCATTCTTAGATAAACTTGTGAAAGTATACTGTGGTAGATAGAGATATGAGATTACTCAGTGCAGAGAGGTTGAAATAGCAAAATAAAACTGTTACAAAAATAATATATATAAGCACAACAAGAGAAGTCACTAAATTAATTTGAAATTCATTTGAAAGAACACCCAAAGCCAGATGTATGGAGTTGCTTTATACATCTTGATATGGAGAGAACTTCTGAATAGATTAATAAAGAAATAAGTCACATCTAAGCCATGATGAATTATCTTTTGGTAACTTAAAAAACAGAAAAAGGCTTTATGGATATGTTTATATCAATCATGCAAATTTATATATTACATAAACAGTTGTATATATTTTTCTCATTCATATTTCAAAAGTTAAATATGTAAACATTTGTTTTCAGTAGGGAGTGTTCTAGATAGAGGTAGATTAGAGGCTACTGTTCTTTCTATTTGATAGCTTTTTGTAAAATTTTGATTTCACTCACCAAGTGTGTATAATACTTATATCCTAAACATAAACATATTCTATCATAAACGTAGGTGTTTTTAAGTGAATCATTATTGTTCTTTATTTTATATACTTAAAGTCCAGTAACTAATATTTTACAAAATAACGAGATGACTATTAGGTTTCTGAGATTATGAAGCATAATAAATCTTAGTGTGTATTGTATTGTCAGAAAATCAAGTCAAATTTTCAATGGAATACTTACACCACAAACAAAACTCAGCTCCTACGATTACCATCTCCTTGAGAGTGCATCTCTGAGCTATACAGAAGATATGTCAGCTTGGGATGAGATAGAGACATCAAACCTACCTCCCCTTCTGAGCAAGCAAATAGGAAATCAGTCATTGGAATTGTTCTCCTGATCCGTGGAAAGGAATATAACACAAAACGAAGGCCCCTCTGAGTGTACCTTCATACTTAATAGATCCAATTTGGAGTCAGAATGGAGAGAAAATGGTTGCATGCTTCCTCTGGACCCTGCAGTTTTACATAGTGTTCACTACTTTGGAAGCAATTTCAGAAGAAATCAACAGAATGACTATCTTCTTTTTTACATCTTTTCAGAATTGCGACCTATTGTGAGTCCTTCTGTGTGTCTGGATCAGGAAGGACATTTACAACTGAATACTTCAAGTCACCTTTTAAAAGCAGTGAAGTCACACATGTGGAAATCGTGGGGCTGGCAACATGAACAGCTGTAAGCTAATCATTTTGAATTGTTCTATGCAGCATGCATTTTTAGGCAACAGTTAATATACAAAAAAGGCACAGGGCAGATCTGCTATTCATGTTGGTGATGGTATTACGTGTTTGAATTATTAGGCTATATTGTATAAATTTCCAATTATCCTTTCTTAATCTCTAATCTGTTCTACACTAATGAAAATTTCTGTCACTGAATAAACATTTGGATAAATTGCACTCTTATCTAGTAAGTTACATTAATACAAATTGAGCTTAAAACCTTGACAATATGAAACTATAAAATTATAACTTCTACTTTCTGCTTAAATGGCATTGCCTTAATTATGAATATGGCTGAATGCATTTTTTCTAACTAGTAAATGTTTTATGGCTCCAAGGATCTAAAAAGGACTCTATCTTTAACCTTGAGGTATCAAGTTGTTCAACGTATCTTCAGGGAAAGGATTTTAGAGTGGAGATAAATGATGGGGAAGTTTAGAGATTTTAATTACCTTCACTAATACATAAATGAGAGTGCTTCATCCTATCTTATGGTTATTAAGTAATATGGCAGCAGTTAGTAGTACTTATTGAAAAATTAAATGCAACTTATGCTTATCTAGACTTCAAAAGCTAAAATAATGTGTTTTTTCATTGATCAAACTTAGATATTTAATATAAGCAAGCCCGGTGAAGAAAAAGAAAATAGTTGTATATTTTATTCTCTTTTATAATAACCATGTATTTATTTCATCACAAAAAATCAAGCTAGAGTGACTTTTCCTTTGGAGACTGAACTGCTTTTTAAATATTTCATCCTGGAAATTGACATTTATTTATCAGGGGTAAGAGGTTTTAGATAACCTTGAACTAGAGGGGAATGCATTTTGGCATATTTTCGTGGACTGTTTTTTATTAAAAATTAGTATCTCTTCATAGAGAGGTGAAGATGGAGCAATATAGGAAGGGAAAGAAGAGGAGAGGAAAATTACTGTTTCATTGCTCCCAAATTGTAATGTATGTCAACTTTCTAGTGACAGCACCATGAATCTGAAATCATGTGATAGTGTGACTAATTTAGTTTTTAAAATATTTAAACCTAAGTATTTTTACTCTAAGTATTTCTTTCCTCTTTTAGCTTTCTTTTTTCTTTTCAAAACTCTTGATTAACTTATCTGGATTGGAGAAAACCAGCTTATCACCTCTCTTGGTACCTGTCTGCCCCCTGGTGGTGATGCTAATATCAGTTGAAATTGTTCAAAGACACACTGAGTGCTGGGGTCCAGCAAAGGATGAAAGACACAAACCTTTTAGGTAATTTTCACATTACACATTCAACCTTGAATTATGGGGCACTAACTGTGTTGTTTTATTTTTCAGAAATCAAACAAAAGTCCTTGTTCCGCATGAGACAATCTTTAGAACTGAGGATCTATCTGTGATTCTGAAAGCGTATGTGTTGGTGACATCCTTAACCCCTTTGCGTGCATTCATTCATTCAACCAGCACAGTATGGATTCCACCAAAGAGAAAGCGCTTCACTGTCAAGGTAAACGTTCCGTTCAAGCTGTTATTTCACACAGAATGCAATAAGGAAAGTGAGTCAGGCTGCCGTTCTCTGACCTTTATAGTTATCAAATTTCTTTGAACAGAGATTGCATCTTTCTATTGCTGCAAGCAGAAAATTTTATTTAATAGGTTCAGGTTCAAAAATGAACTGGAAATAGCTTAATTCACTAAAGATCACCAAGGCTGCAGTTCTCTTTTTCTCAGCTCATCATGTTAGTTCAATCCCGTGACCCATCCAGAGCTAGTTCTTGGCCTGACTCTTGGCTTTCCATTCCTTGACTTTCCAGTTATTTAAGGAGCACGTAGTGAATGTCATAAATAAAAATATAATTTTGTTGTTATGATTCTTGCTGCACAGTTTGAAAATAGAATATACATTTCATTATATCATTTCACGTGGAATATTTGCTGAGTGAAAAACAAAACTCCCAAGTGTGCCTGACATAACAAGCAGTGGCACAAAGGGTGATGAGTACTGTTTCAGGGAAGAACTTAACAATAACCCAACAAAAGTTTAGTTGGAAAAGGTGGTTCAGGTTAACTAGGCTTAAAATTGGGTTTTGTGACAACATGTGGTAAGGAAAATTTGATATTACAGAAATAATTGTTCAGCTTAGAGATAAAAAGACACAGGAAGAAATTTTTAAAAATGCACGAATGCTTCATAGTTCTAAGAGATCTCAGAGTGACTGAATTTAATTTCTTTTCCAGGATTTACTTCACATGAATTGTATTTTTAGTTCTTAAAATATTACAATGATGAAAAATGTAATAGGTCGTTTCAATGTTGTTGATTAAAAACAGCTTAGCATGATAATTGATACACTTGAATGTAAATACAGTGAATAAAATATCTGACATTTTAGGGATGGTATTTATGACTCATTTTCTTAAAATTGCTTTCTTTATTTTTAAATCAATCATCCTATCTTGATCACATCAGTATCTATGGTTTTCAAATAATCTTGAAAAAATGGAATCTGATTTGATTTAATGTTGTCTCCTGAAATTCCTTATTGTAGTTATTTTTATCTCCTCAAGTACCATTCATTATTTCCACTTTTCCTTCTTTTTACATATAATTATATGGAATCACTGATAGTTGGCCATTTTTTACCTATACAAAATTGTGACCTTGTAAATTCACCCTAATCCAGTAACTGGAGCTCAGTTATAGAGATGGGATATGATGCTCTTAGATCATGTCAACATATTCATATATTTAGCAAATCTTTTGAGTACAGACTGAAATCTTTGCTATTGTCCAAGGCCTCTTTATCTATTTATTTAATCCATTCTACTTAATCCATTTATCATTTTGTTTGCAATCCCCACTCAATTCTTCTCACTTCATAAAATCACCATTATAATGGTTTATTCTATACACTCCTGTTTATATAATATATTTTCTTTTGTATGTATTTGTAATATGTGGAAATTATATTATATTATATTTATTATATTTTCCAGTTTCTTATATATTTTATTATATTTGTAATATGTGGAAATTTTATTATATTATATTTATTATATTTTCCATTTTCTAATATTTTTGATGCAGCACTGGATATTTTTAGGAAGAGGTCATTTCCATTGGTACTTGCTGTTTGTTTGCTTTTGTAGTATTGGGGATCAAACCCAGGAGTGCTCTACCACTGAGCTACATCTCCAACTATTTTTTATTTTTTAAGATAAAGTTCCTCTCTAAGTTTTCCAGGCTGATTGCTTTCCTCCTGCCTCAACTGCCCAAGTAACTGGGATTACAGCCATGCACCACCATTGTTGTTACATGCATATTTTCTGGTTATCTTTTCACTGATTTATTGTACTCTGTGTGTGTTTTCCATTACTATTTACTTATCCACTTCTTTAGTAAGAACACCCTTATTGCTCCAGTTCCTGGACAATACAAATTGTACTTTCCAATTAAAAACCATTGTGTGTGACCTTTTATTAAGGTGCTTGGGATTTTTCTGCAGAGTGTAAAGCCAACAATGCAATCATAGCTCTATCTGACAGCTAAATAATGCAGCTTATCCCCCAGAATGTCCCCATCAGTCTCTACCCCCTTTAGAGGTTTCATATCCCCACCATTTTGCCAATACTTAGTCTTTACTAGTCCAAATTTTGCCAGTTTAACAGATAAAATACTATGTACTACTCCTGCAAATACCTCAGCTTCCTGTGTACCTGTCAGCTTTATCCACAGTGCCCCTTTGTTGATATAAACAATCTTCGATTGATGAATAAAATTAGTTTTTCTTGTTTATGCATTGGGGATTTAATTTCAGAATTTTTTAAAATTTCTAGATCAAAAAGATATGCTTCTCCACTTGTTTTCTATTACCTTTATAATTTTTCTCGAAAATATAAATATTTAATTCAAAAAGAGTGTACCATTGATCTATTTTCTTTAATATATAGTCAATCAGTTCTCCAAACATCATGGAAAACTTACAATTTACCATCAATCTGATGTCTCCATATGGATATAGAGCTGCCTCTGATCTTCCCATTCTGTCTTAGTTGCTCTAAATATTTACACTACTTCACAGCATAAGTATGTCTGAATGCCTAGCAAGAGCGACTACTTGTCTCCACTTTTTATTTTCAAGATTAGATAACTTGGTTTTAAATATTTATTTTCTTCCTCATAAGAAGGCCCAGGATCTGCTGTCTATACGCAAGACAACCAAGAAAGGTGGTGGTACAATTCAGTGTTTTCCTCAAGGCCTGAGAATCAGGCACTCAGATTCTACGGGAAGAAAAATATAGGTGTCCCTGCTCAAGAAGAAGCAAGCAAACACTTAGGATTTATTTCTTCCATTTCATCTGTCTACTTAGTGTTGTGGCTGATATCTAGATATGTCCCCAAAGTTCATGCTCATAGGTAGGCTTTTGGAAGATAACTGGATCATAAGCATGGGAAACACTGAGGAGTTTATAGCTAGTGTGATGCTAGGAGATGAAGTCTGGTGGGAAGTGGATACTGTGGACATGGACCCTTCAGAAGGGTGTATGTACCGCCCTTTTCCTTTGATGGCTGGCAGCTTCCTGCCTCCCATGCCATGAGCTGTTCCTGTGTTCTGATGCCTCTCTGCTGTGCCACCCTTAGGTGGAGCCAGCCAACTCTGGCCTGAAACCTCTACAAACTGAGCCAAAGTAAACCTCTCCTCCTTTAAAGGGTGAGTGTTAAGTATTGTGTTTCAGTGACCAGAAAGTAACTATGACACTTTGAATGCTTTTGTTTCATTTCTTTTAACCACCTTTTCCTGTTTTTTATTGCAAGTCTTGAATGATCTGTAAATTTAAAAGTTGTGCATCCTCAAAATACATAACATAGTTTAAGACATATATTCATGTTTATTTCCTCATATTGATATCTAAAATTTTTCAAAATTTCTGCTCTTTCCTCCATTCTGTCCCCTCAAGTCTCCTTTAGTCTTAATTCATATCACAATATAAATTTTTATTTTTAATTGAAATAATCATCCCCTTCCTTTTTTTTTGTTTTGGTTATTTTTGTTTAGTCTTTTTTTCTTTCAAAAGCAGACAAACTTTATCAAGGAATTTATCACTTACTGCTTTATCTGTTCACAGTACTCTTCTGCATTTGCTTCTTTATATATTTGAGTGTTTTTGATTTGTTTTAGAAGTCTTTCCTCTTTAATTATGGAAATTTAGTTTTCATTTGTTCTTGAAATGTGTTTGCTTATTGTTTTTTTCCTTCTCTGTTGTCCAGATTTTGATCTTGGTTTTATATTTCCTTATTATTTTGCTGTTTATCTCCTTGTCTACTCTCTGGAAACATTTCTGTTTTCTGGAGCATTGCTTGAACCTTGTCTCCCAAATCATGAAATCTTTATATTCTTTCCTATGATCAATTTCAGCTGATTTTTTTTCTGTATTTCCATTAATTAGCTAATGCTGTATGTGTAACTTGTATGTCAATGTCCTTGAACTTAAAAACTATGTACATTTTTATTTACACCTGTGAATTTCTTGCTGTATATCCTTTGTACTCTTTTCCTTGATTTCTTTTCCTATTTCATTTTGTGACTGTTTCCCACTATTTCCTTGTGTATTCTACCCATTCTTGTTGTGAATCCTAGTGCATCCATTTTTGTAGCATGATACCTGTTACTGAGTTTACGGCCTTTCCTTTGAGGTCCCTCTACTTTTCATGTGCTCCTTTGTCCTTTGAGGTTAAGTGTTTCTTGCCCATGTTGCACATTCCAGCTGACTCAGTGCCTGGGAAACACTGGCCCTTACAGGTGAGTCCAAGGGCAGGCTGACCAAGAGTTCCTGGTACCACAGAATTACCCTGAGCTGCTTCCTTACACTGCCACTGTGCTGGGTGAATTCCCTGTCAGAATTTCACCTCTGCATTCCAGAAGAAAAGCCCTGAATGGAAGCAAGCCCATCCTTTTTGTAATCTCCAAACTTCATGTTTCAGACTAAGAGGGAGAAGGAGTGAAGTGCAGGGTGACGGGTAATCCCATCTATCTCATTAGCTCTTTACCTGAGCGCACATTATGCCCAGGAAATACAGTACCCTGAATCCCGGGCCTGGACTTAGATCTGTTATCTATCAACAAGAAGGAACAGGTAGAGGCTGCCCTGGAGAGCAGAGATGAGGTTGAAAGAAAATCCGCACAGTTTGCTCCAGCTGACCTCTCTCGTGTGGCCGCCAGCAGTTTCCACCCAGCCTCCCTGTCCACGGCCGCCAGGGCCAGACCAGTTCAAAACAGCTTTCAGCTTTCAGATTTTTATTAATCACCGTTTTGTTATCAAATTCACACTTCTGTCTCCTTTTGTGCTAATACACCATCTTAACAGGAAGCTGAAGCTCTTAGGCACTCTCAGGGATTCTTTAAGTGTGTTTCCTTTTTTTTTTGTTTACTGCAGTGCCACCCTACCTACCCTGAAAGGAATGCCCGGTAGAAATGATAAGGTTTCTGTGTTTGTTTTTATGTATGT